CTGTTCTTTTAACATTTGTCTTCCACGAATGCCAAACCACCATCTTACGACTGGAAAAGTAAAACTCCATTGATGCACTGATTGAAATGAGTTCAAACAACAGCAGTTATTTTCTCACCATTTGAGTGGCGTTCCTTCGTACTCGAACCACATCTCCTCCACATCCTCTGCTCTCATCACTTTGAGGAAGTGCTTTTTCACCTTGTCTGTGACCAGAGTCAGGTAGCTCACTCTGGGTAAGAGCAGCTGATAAAGTAAGAGAACAGGGGAAGAGGTGCATTAATAAGGGACAGTCTGTTACTCTGAACTACATGGTAGCCGTGGGCTAAATTTAGAAAGTGCACATTAATGACATAATGAGCAGCTATATTGTGTGTCTGCTTGGTTCTTTGTGTATTAACATCCAATATTACAGATGAGTAAAATGTCCTCACACAGTTGTGAATTAAAGACACCTATAAACAATGAATGAATTATTTTGTTATTTTTTCCATTTACTGTGACATATATGTCACATAACAGCAGACAACAATCTATAGAGTAACTGTAGCATCATGTTGTACATTTTTGTGGTGCATGTGAGCTACGTGGCATAGCTACGGCAACTACATAGTAACTGCTGTTAGATCACAATCCCTCAATTCACTAGAATTAACCACATTCAAAGACTCTTAACACTTAATTTACATGGATACCCTGAAACTTGAAGTACATGTTGGTTGGGACTTGTAAACAAAATAGATTATTTGCATAATCTATGGCCTGTATTCACAGGACTTCTTAGGACTTAAGAGTAGCTACTAGTGATAACTGCGGTATGCTCTACCCTAAAAATAAATCCTGACAGAGGTAAAAAATTTTCACAAAGCACCACAGCCCTTGAAAGAACTCTCAATGTGAAAAAATGTTAGCAGTGGACAGGAGGACTTTTAGAAGGAGACTCATCAGCAGAGAAGGAAATGGTAGAAAGACAAAGTGTAGAGCAACCATTTTTCCTCCAAGTGAGGAACAAATTCGCAGTTTACATATTTGAGTTAATTAATGGGTTTGTTTTGGGTTGCTTTTTTTTTTTTGAGAAGATCCAATTATCACAAAAGACTAGCATAAGAGATCAGTAAACACAAACTGAAGCTGCTATATTGATATTCATGGTGTGCTGATTAACTCAAATCAATCAATGTACTTAGTTTCATACAAGAAAACACTCCACTTGCTGGATGCCTTTAAACAGCAGAGCAATTGTATCTTTTTTTTCTCTTACAGTCTGTACAGCAGCTGATTGAGACAAGGTAGAAATAGAAGTATCAGAAGTGTCAGAAACCATAAAATGGAGTTACAGTGTAGCAGTAATTACTTTGATTTGTTAAACCACAGTGATCTCATTATCGTTTACAGCATTTTCACAGTCTCAAACTATTACACACTTAATTTAAATTGCCACGGTGTTGCTGGTGTAAGTTTTAAAAGCTCATCATTTATTTCCCTTAGGATAAACAGATAAACAGAGTAACTTACAAAATATCCCAGAACGGTGTATAAACACAAGCAAAAATTATAGGCATGTCATTGTACTTCGGCACAAACTGGTTTGTAATTCCAAGTATTGTGTAAATATTGTCTAAAAGCTAGTGTATTCAACTGAAATGTCCATTACATTAGGTCAGTGATTCCCATTTGGTGTGCATTGCAAGTGCAATTGTGTTCCTTAAGGGAAGTCCAGGTGTGAAACTGGTTCACCCAAAAGACAAAACTCCTAAACACAAACTTAACAATGTGGTGTATGCTGTACAGTGCAGCGAGGAATGCCCAGACCTCTACATCGGAGAGACCAAACAGCCACTTCACAAGCGCATGGCACAACAAGAAGAGCCACCTCCACAGGACAAGACTCAGCAGTCCATCTGCATCTAAGGACAAAGGTCACTCTTTCGAGGATGCCAATGTTCACATTTTGGACAGAGAGGACAGATGGTTTGAAAGAGGAGTGAAAGAAGCCATTTACGTCCACTGTGAGCGACCATCTTTGAACAGAGGCGGGGTTTACGACACCAACTCTCTGCCATCTATAATCCAGTTTTGAGATCCCTTCCCAGACGCCTTAACGCCCACTCACATCCTGGGCCATCTGACCTCAGGAAATCACATGATAAGGTGGGACCAGGTTTCACAATGAGCTCACGCGAAACCCTGGCTGATTGTGACCCACACCCAGTTTCACACCTTGGCTCATGTGATTAGGTAGAGGATCATCAGGGGGTCATTTGTCCCTCTTTGGGGGGAAACTCCCACTGCATTTAAATCTGGGACTCTCCACCATTTGACCTTAGAAGAAGCTTCTCGGATGAGAGGTGAAACGTCTTCAAGCAACTCGAAGTCCAGACACTTTTCTTTCCAAGCTCCTTAGACTACGATGACCTGGATGACTGAGAACCTTCACAGACATATCTATATGTACTTGTATTTGTTTTTTAATTCTATATGATTTTTGTCTTCTTGTTCATTTATTTGTAAACCACTGAGTCTGTAACAAACACTGATACAGCAGACATATACAAAAGTCATGAGCCACCCCTCATTTCTTTGTATTTTCTTTAGATTAATGGAAAATGGGAGCCGCAAGTTACTGAAAAAAGTGCAAACATACATGGAAATACATTGAGTTTCCACACTTCTACCAAGCTAAAAATCTGTATTTGGTATATCTGGTCTATTCGGGTATCCTTCTACTGCATTTTTTATGTGGGATCATAGCCACTCAGATGCTTTCCTAATGGACCAAAATCTGATGGCATTTTTCTGCAATCATAATTCTAGCAATTTTGACCAGATACTCAACACACCTGGCTGAAATGTAGCCCGAAACTGTGACAGTCTCCAATGCACTTTACAGAGACACACTGTTCTACGTCTTTCCTGACCATCAAGTTTGGATTTATCACTCCATAATATGTGTTTTCAGTCCATTTCTTGTGTATCCACATCCTTTTCTCCCTGTTTCCCTTCCTTAAGAATGGCTTCTTGACAGCCACCCTTCCACTAATTTCTGATGAGGCTTCAGTGAACAGCAGATAGACAAACTGAAAGATTGCACCTCTACTGTGTCAGATCTTTGCTGTTTTCTTTTCTATTTCTGAAGGGTGTGAATTTCAGATACTTCTTATCTGCTCCAGATAGTGTTTTAGGCCTACAATTTCCTATTCTGCCTTCCACCTACCTAACCATTTTCCTGTGCACCACGCTGAGGTAAGTCATGTTTTCACCTAATAGTTATACGTGAATCACTTTATTGGTGCAAAAATACTATTTTATGCCTGTCAAACTGTGTTACTCTTGGCAGTTTTTATAGATTCAAATAAAGTGATGTGAACAAATGATTTGTTTTCCCCCAACAACACATTATATAATTTAAAACAGGTTCCTTCCTAAATTTATTATACATAGATACAACAGTGATTCATTCCTTGAGTTAGGTTTTTTGCTTCTTTTATGTTTGTATGATTCATTGGACGGTGTAAAGTGGTTTAATATATATATATTATTTTGAGAATGGTCAGCTACAGGGACTGTACTGAAAATGAGAGCAAAAGGAGGCACAGTGTTCAACGCCACTCAAAGCCAAAGCAAAAAAAGCAACTGCAATAATGTCTGGCTACCTGGAAGTATAAAGAAATGTAATTTTCGCAAGCAAGAACAAAATGTTTGAAAAACACTTTGTTAGATGATACTTAGAACTACACCTATAATCTATGTAGGTTTGACTATTTCACTAATGTTTTCGGTTCAGGTGAGACCACAGCCTGGTCAGCTACACCTCCACACTTAGGTAGTTAGTTCCTTCATTTTGCTTTGACAACTCTTTTACATAATTCTTATCCTAGAACTCCTTGCTGCTGAGTGGATCCTCGGAATGCTTATGAATATGGGTCATGTACCCTTCTGTAAGCAGGCTTACAAAAGTTAAATAAGAGGCTTCCTTCTGACTGTGTTGTCTGAAGGACTTCCTTGAAGCATGCTTCGTCAGAAAGCATTAATCTCCAAAAACAAAAGTTAAGTCAGGCCTAGATTTTGCATCATGTTAGATGAGAACAACTGTACTTACATAATAAGCCTCGGCTTCCCTCTCAGTAACCTCATCCTGGTTCAGAGTGAAGCAGGTGGGTATCCGGCCGAACCAAACGTCTCTCAACACGTCCTTGTCATCTGCCATGCTGCTGCTCCCAGTGGCACATAAAGAATGAATTCCCCAAACCGATGCCTGCTTCAGAAGAGATAAAACCGTCCTACTGTCAGCAAAAGATCGGAGCATGGCTAACAAGCAAACACTGACAAAACTTTCAGCATCCAAACGCTGAACCTCAGTTCAATAACCAGTGCAAGTTAAGCTAGCACCACGTTGGCGCACTTCAGGTTTGAGTAACTTAGATATCTCTTAAGTAAATTGCCAGTGAAGTTATTTCTAGGTTACAGTTCAGTGATAGGTCGCTACCTATCTCTTAGACCTCCAAAGGAACTTCAAAATTGTCGAACTACGCAGCTGTAGAGCAAAAACTGATGTTAGCTCGAGGGCTAAGTAGGCTAACTTACCCAATGGAAACATAATAAAGAAATGTTTAAAGTCCAATTACAAAGGTACTGATAATATTTCCCACAGACAGACATTCTTACACTGTGAGAAGGAGATGGGGGAGCCTTACTTTTTAGTCGATATTTTGTAGATATATTGAATGGAAAAGGGGCCTATGTTGTCATTCCCCCGCTGACACCGGAAAAACAGCAAAAATATCCAATTTCCCGCAAAACAGCGACCACTGGCGACCGCTATTCTTACTAAACCAACTACAGAAATATACCAAATGATCTGCAATTTTACGTTGAAAAAGACACTAAAATTTTAAAAATAAATATTAAATGCTTAAAGTATTTTAAAGCGTTGTAGGTTTTGCATCCATCCTCCACCAAATAGCCGAGTGGTAAAGAGAACCGGGGGCGACGCATCATCAGTATGCGACGGCCCTTCTCAACTACGTAGCTCTCCTCCGCCTGTTTGGGATCTGTTGTGTTCATCGGCAGCTCCGGGAATGGATAAAACAACTGAGATGGATAACCTGGAAATGCGTCTCCGGGCGCTAGAGAGTCGTATATATGGCGAGAGAAAAAACAAGAGTGGAAAACCTGTAAAGGTTCGCTTATATTATGTATATCTGTATATATGCTAGTTGTTAGCTTTGCGGAGCTAACGTTGGTTGTGAGTAAACGCCCTTTTTTAATTTATACACTAGAATGTTAGCAGAAGTTGTTTTAGTTGTTCAATTTAGTTTCGCACAAATATGAAAAATTGACTTTCCTGCCCATCAAGAAGCTATTCCTTTATTTTCATAACTGTTGGTTATTTAGCTTTCATCTGTTTACATTAAAAAAGTTGTGCTTAATCATAATCAACAATACAATAGTCTGACACGGTTAAACGAAGAAACCTCGGCTAGCTAGTGATGAGATGCTTTTTGAGGCGAGGGGACTCAGCAGGGTATCATGTGATCTGGAAAAAACACTCTGGCTTACAAAGAGGCATTTAAGTTGGTTTGTTTTTCACTAGATTTTGTCATTCCAAAGGTGGAGATAGTGCTACAGTGTGCTGTTAGGCTTAAATTTACTTTAAATTCAAAGATTTAAGAGTATTATTGCCATCTCAACACATGAGGTAGCATAAGAGGGAACAAAACTAAGGAATGAGGTTCCTGTGAGCTAAACGACTAAAACAGTAATACGATTTAAAATGCTTTCTAAATTTAGAAAAACAAAAGGTATCATGTATCTCTACTGGAGAGAAGGAGAATGAAAGTCATAGGAAGCATGACAGAATGCATGTATGTGAATAAGGAGACAGGTGTCATAGGGAAGAGCAGGGGTAGTGAAGATGGACGAATTTACCCATGGTTTAGCCATCCAAAGTAACAGACATTGCACAAGAGAGGTGAAGAAGAGAATGCCTGCTTTTTCTGGTCCTGATGCTGCACAGCCTGTGACATGAGATGTAATACTTCTTTCCAATGGTCATCTGTGGAAACCGTTATCCAATATGTACTGCAAAAAGCCAAATAAGACCTTAAATGTAGTAAGGGAATATACAGACTAGGGCTGCCACGATTAGTCGACTAGTCACGATTATGTCGACTATCAAAATCATCAACGACTAATTTAATAGTCCACGCGTCGTGTGAAGCTTTGTAAGATCCCAAAAGACACAGGAATAAGTAGAATTTGAGAGTGTAATAACGGGCTGAAACAGAAGATGGCAGCACTGCATGTACAAGGATGCCAGCTGCCGTTAAACCCCAAAGAAGAAGAAGCTGTGTCCCAGAAGCCCTGCTCAGTTTCCAACAATGGCGGCAGCTAGTTAGTTTTAATATTACTCTTATTATTCTTTCTGGGTCACAAAATAAACGTTGAACATATTTTCAGGCGAGAATGTAGCTGTGTAAACTTCAAATATGTGCTCGGTTTATCAAGACAACACATATTTGCAAAAGCGTCCTGACATTTTCGGAGACATCTGTTATCCACTAGCTCGATAGCTAGCCGGGGGCAAGGCTCACTAGAGCCGGTGAGAACACCGGACTCCCGGCAAATCGTTTTCAAACCCACCGCCGTCTTTCGCTACTCAGGTTAAACATGTAATATAAGTCACTTAGATAACTTAAAAATGTTATTGTTTGGCTTTTTTTTAGTATTTTATTTGTTCCTGAGTAAATCGGTTTGGCTGAGATTAAAGTTATAGTTTTTACACAACTGAATAAACGTCAAGCAGACAACTGATTATCAGAAGTGTGAGATGCTCCAGAATTTACTCCGGTGTCCTGTTATATTTTAGATAGCAAGGAGCAGACGGTTGAGTTTATTAAACTTCACCGAAACAATCTGCAAATTTCATTAAAATTGAATAAACTATCATCTTGTCTTTATTTTTTAGTTAGCACATACACTTAAAGCTGTAAGCTAATGATGGTTATATAGGAGCAGATGCATGCTGGTGCAATAAGCTGTACCTTGTACGTCCAATGGACGCCTGATCTGATTAGTCAACTAATCGCAAAAATAATCTGTGACTAGTCTACTATAAAAATAATCGTTTGTGGCAGCCCTAATACAGACAGCATATGTTTAGCCTGCATCGCGCTAATTCTCACATTTCTTTTAGGATAATAAGATTCCAGTCCTCATAAGCATAAGAAGAATTTTTTTTTGTAAAATGCCATTATTATTTTTTATTGGTACCTTCTGTATCTCCCAATGTCATATAAACTTGACTCTTGCATGTATTTTATGTGCTAGCATACTCCCCTATACCACACCACCAAAAAACAAAAAGCAACAACAACAACAAAAACCCTTGCTATCAGGATGATAACCACTAACTTTTTCCCCTGCAGTGTGCGGAGTCATTGGCCAGGATTCAGGCCGGTCTGACCAACACAGCCAATAAGAGAGAACGAGTAAAGATTCTGCACAAGAAGAGTGAGTCACACATTCTGCCAATCTCTCAGCCCCTACACTTTAGATTATTGGCTTGTTGTATTTTTGTGAATATATATTTTTAACATTGCTCTAAATTAGCAACTACTTTATACTGATGTGGTTATTCATATTATAATACCTTTATAAACTGATGTGTTTAGTAATGTGGCTACTGAAAATTAAAAACTTGAAAGGGCTCTAAATTTCTGTGACAACCTTTAACTTTCAAGACACCAAATGTTTTTGCAGAATTTTTTTCTTTATTTAGATTTTAGACTGAGTCTATTGAACTTTAAATCATGCTCATTGGTGTTGTGGTGCAGTTGAGGACCTCTTAAAGTACTTGGACCCTGAGTTCACAGACCACATCACTGTGCCTGATGCCATGAAGCTGGAGTTCATCCTTGCAGGTAAGAACTCTTAAAAGTTCAAATGAAAACTAATATTACTGAGGCATACACAGGCATTAACTTTAATGTCGATTGCTATATGTGCAAATTGTATTGGTATTAAATTTTTATATATATTGTAAACAAGTAGAAGCTGAATCCATTTCTTGCTCTGTCTCTTTGCAGAGGAAGACTTCTTGCTTTCGCAGGCTGCTTTACTGGAACAGGTCAGCAACCTGCAGCCACTGCTGGACAGCACCTACATCAGAGGTGAGTTTCACTTTGTAGGACACATTAATACCCAACAAAACAATGTCTGTTTTGTTGTTTTATATTCCTGGCATCATTTTGGAGGGATCTTATGCTTAGTTTTGTTACCTACGTTTAGCCAGGGGTTTCAGCCTGTTTTAAATGGGTGATAGATGTGCCTATTGTAGTACTCGATGTTTTACCTCATCAGGTCTTGTTTTTTTGTTCACAGATGTACCAGAACATGCCACCAAGCTGCAGCGCTTATCACAGATTCACATCAAACAGCAGGTAGCCCTTTCTTTCTTTCTCTTTCTTCCCCATCTACTCCTGTGGGTTTGTCTCTCACTAGGTTTTATGTGTAAATATTATTCTGTTTGTTTTACAGGACCAAAGTGAGGTTCAGTCACAGGAAGTTAAGAAGCTTTTTGAAGAATACAACAAAATGGTACACTTCAATTTTTAAATTCCAGTGATTATGAGAACAAAGCTATACATATATTCTTTGGGTAAACAAAATGTAATAATCAATCAAAAACATCTTAAACTTAATTAGCAAACTACCAAAGTTTTTTATCTATAGCTACTTTGGTCAGTCATGGAAAAATTCATAATACACAAGTTGTTGCTGAGATAAAGCTCCACCCACTGACAGCTGACCTCTTGATTGCCAGATGTTCCTGTTGTCCAAGCAGTTCACCCAGTGGGATGAGACCCTGAGAAAAATGGAAGAGGCCAAAGGAATCCGACCTATGGAATAGTGATTATCAACATACGTTCAGATGACGAAAGTGGAAAAACACTGCACTGTGGTGGGAGTGTCAGATATGTGAGGCAATGGCATCACCACATTTCTTTCTTATTTTCTTTCTTTTTTTAAACATTTAATTTATTTGAATTAGGTGATATAACTTTGATAATCTAACCTGATGTAAGAAATACTCAAAAGTGTAAGAAACAGTACATTAACAATTCCAGAAATAGTCACTGCAGATTGTAAATATTGAAGGCAGGTTTGTCTTCCTGCTAATGCTGGTGGTTCCAAACTGACACTCATATTGGAAGAAAATGGGTTTCCTGTAACCGTTTATTTGTGGATGAATTCACTCCTATCATTAAACTTGTAGTTGTTATGCTGTTTATTGTCAGACAAAAGTACTTTACTTGTAATGTATTCCTGTCCTCCTTACTGTAGGCATGTCACAAGACTTAAATTGCTCTTCCCCCAGTTCAAAAACACACACCTAGTTACTTCCCTCTGGATGCTTCTTGACATGACTTATAAAACCTTAAATTAGCTTCAGTATTTTTTCCAGTATTTGGTTTGAACAATTTCATTATATCTGATTTCTCTTATAGCAAATAAATGTTGATAAATAAATATGACTTTTTGGGGGGATATTCAAAAGTGTTGCATGTTGTGTGTATATGAGTCTTACAACAGAATCTGGATCTGTTTAGGTCTGTTTGTGCATTCTGATGTTTTGTCAGTTTCTAATAGGTTACTCAGCCATTTTTCACATTTTCACAGAATAGATGAGATTGGAAACTTGGAAATAATTAACCACATCAAGAAGCAATATAATATTGTCACTGTATGTTTACTCCAAAACAACACTGAACACCTTAATACCTATGTGCTTTACAAATTGAAATGGCATGACTGACTGAACATTGACCAAGAATTATTTTTGCTGCTGTCTCATGTAAGGCCAGAAGTACAGCACTTTTTATTTTGTTCGTAACAGCTCAAAGAAAAGGTGAGACTATTTTTTGCTCGTTGAATATTGCGCAGCATAGATCAAGGCACATAATATGTTGCTTACTAAAATTGAAAATTATGCTTCAGTTGGTTGGCTCCAGTGTTTTTATATGCTAATAGGTCAGTTATTCAGTTATAAGATCAGTCTCAAGCCAAAAATTCATTTTGTTCCCTGAGTTCTGGCAAGAATGGCCCAAAGGAAGGTAGCTGCTAATTCTAATGAATATAGAAAGTATGAATTGGAATTTTATCAGGTATGTTATGCTATATATAATCAAAGGTTGAAAAGAGAGTGGCAGAAATGTAACTAAAGTTTTATGAATTATGTGTTTGTGGCAGCTAGATAGCATAGTGGGAACATTGGCTGTATCCCAATTCAGGGTCTGCAGCCTTAAAGTACGCAGCCTCAACGATCCTCAAGGGCCGCATACTCAAAGACCGCTAAGGCCGGAAGTGCAAGGCTTCTGAAATGGGACGGTCTAGCCTCTGTTGCGCTGCCCAGGTTGCCTAGCAACCATGATACTAACAGCTGGAAACGTGTCATACAGCTTTGTTTGACAGAAATGAAGGAGAAAATCTGTTGTTCATTTGTTTGTTTCTTTCTACATGAGCTTTGATCATTCTCTGTAAGATTAAGCTCAGCTATTGAACGGCCTATATTTTAAAGTAAAGGCTTTAAAACCAAGTTAGTACAAACGTCACTAATGTCACATAACTTTGCCGACATGTGGCCAACAGTAATGTTTTAATGCTCTTCGTTATTAAACATTTGCACATAAATAAGTGACATAATATTCAGTACTTAAAGTTTACTCTTCGGCCGCCCCTCATCCGCCGTTTTTTTTTCGGCAAAATTATCCACACCCACCGCCGCACTATGCATTCTGGGATATGTTGAGCCACGAAGTCTACACTGCCACAGCCTTAAAATTCAGGGAAATGAAGGACACATTTCAGGGCCGCATTTCGAGCAGCCTTTGAATTGGGACAGCCTTCGGCGCGCCGCTGTGACGTAATCGGCCTTGAAATGCGTACTTTAAGGCTGCAGACCCTGAATTGGGATACAGCCCTAGTTTGCCTTTGGAAATTTAGGTTGGGGCTTTGACGTGTGTATCCAGTAAAGGTCCCCAACCTAGGCATCCCATGCTACCCAAGCCTACTTTGGATATGTGCATTATATGTAATCCATCCCAGACCTCGGTCGCTTAACAAGGTCCGCGTCAGATATAGAGGAAGGGAGAATTCAATTCAATTCAATTTTATTTATATAGCGCCAAATCACAACAAAAGTCGCCTCAAGGCGCTTCATAGGTACAGAGAAAAACCCAACAATCATATGACCCCCTATGAGCAAGCACTTTGGCGACAGTGGGAAGGAAAAACTCCCTTTTAACAGGAAGAAACCTCCGGCAGAACCAGGCTCAGGGAGGGGCGGGGCCATCTGCTGCGACCGGTTGGGGTGAGAGAAGGAAGACAGGATAAAGACATGCTGTGGAAGAGAGACAGAGGTTAATAACAGATATGATTCAATGCAGAGAGGTCTATTAATACATAGTGAGTGAGAAAGGTGACTGGAAAGGAAAAACTCAATGCATCATGGGAATCCCCCGGCAGCCTACGTCTATTGCAGCATAACTAAGGGAGGATTCAGGGTCACCTGGTCCAGCCCTAACTATATGCTTTAGCAAAAAGGAAAGTTTTAAGCCTAATCTTAAAAGTAGAGATAGTGTCTGTCTCCTGAATCCAAACTGGAAGCTGGTTCCACAGAAGAGGGGCCTGAAAACTGAAGGCTCTGCCTCCCATTCTACTTTTAAATACTCTAGGAACAACAAGTAGGCCTGCAGAGCGAGAGCGAAGTGCTCTAATAGGGTGATATGGTACTACAAGGTCATTAAGATAAGATGGGGCCTGATTATTTAAGACCTTGTATGTGAGGAGCAGGATTTTGAATTCAATTCTGGATTTAACAGGAAGCCAATGAAGGGAAGCCAAAACAGGAGAAATATGCTCTCTCTTTCTAGTCCCTGTCAGGACTCTTGCTGCAGCATTTTGGATTAGCTGAAGGCTTTTCAGTGAGTTTTTTGGACATCCTGATAATAATGAATTACAGTCGTCCAGCCTGGAAGTAATAAATGCATGAACTAGTTTTTCAGCGTCACTCTGAGACAGGATATTTCTAACTTTAGAGATGTTGCGCAAATGGAAGAAAGCAGTCTTACATATTTGTTTAATATGTGCGTTGAAGGACATGTCCTGGTCAAAAATGACTCCAAGGTTCCTCACAGCGTTACTGGAGGCCAAGGTAATGCCATCCAGAGTAAGAATCTGGTTAGATACCATATTTCTAAGATTTTCAGGGCCGAGTACAATAACCTCAGTTTTATCTGAATTAAGAAGCAGAAAGTTAGCGGCCATCCAGGTCTTTATGTCTTTAAGACATTCCTGCAGTTTAACTAATTGGTGTGTGTTACCTGGCTTCATGGACAGATAGAGCTGGGTGTCATCTGCATAGCAGTGAAAATGTATGCTATGTCTTCTAATGATACTGCCTAAGAGAAGTGGAAAAGGCATCAGGATGTTGTGCTGTTGGAATGCTACTACGCAAGTAACCTCAGTAGAAGAGGCTGCATGAAGAAGATGTGGGACCTACGGAATCTTCAACACTAATGGCGAAACAACTAGTAGCTCAGTGTTCCAACATCTGGAAGAACCAACTGCTATAGCAACTTAGTGGTAAGTGAATATCTCAGGCAGCAGAAATACTAGAAAGAAGAGGAGGAACCATCATGGAAGGACAGGCCCATGCACAGCATGTACCACCAGCAGATAAAAGAAGTGGCTGATACTGAGAAATCCTGCCAGTGGCTAGACAAAGCTTGATCGAAAGATAGCACAGAGGCACAGAAACCAGCGCTAAGCACAAGATTGATAGAGGTTGGCGTCTACTGCACTAGGCATGACCCCAAGTGTGCAAAGATGTGTTTGAGCATACCCAGCACATAACAGTATAGTGCAAGAAGCTGGCAGGCAGGCCATACATGGAACACCATAACCAAGTTGAAGGCTAGCTGGCTTTAGTGTGCAGGAATATCCGTGTCGACGTGTCTTTGAAGGATGTGGCTTTGGCCAGTAAATAGCCGAAGTGCTGCTCAGGTCACCAAGTAATCATCACACTAGCAGCTAGAAAAATTTTATACAGCATTGTTTGACAGAAATCAAAGTAAAAAAAAACGTATTACTTTCGCTGAGATCCTTTATTGTTATGTGATGTATCTGAAGCCGAGAGACTACGGGACCGTAAAACATGACTTTTTTAACATTAGCTAGTAAATAACCGTTAGCTAATGCAGTTCATGAGACAAGTGTCACTCTAAAATGGACATTAAATTTAACATATCAATATCTGAAATATATTTATTTCAATATTTATAGCTGTGAAATTTAAACCAAATACTGAGCTTTACTTGAAATTCAAGGTGCATTTATTTCTGTATCAGAATCAGAATACTTTATTAATCGCGAAGGAAATTATGGGTTACAGCAGGCAGCACGCTAATGGCGCAGAACTTACAAAGGAACCTTCTGACCTGTTTGTTATCAGGGTGTTTTTGTTCGGCTCCAGCCTTGAGACCACAGCTGGTGCTGAAGTGGTAGCCACATGAAATGATGGTGGTTTTTACTTTAGTACGAACAACTCATGTGAATTTCAAAGCTGTTCTAGCAGTCCGACACTTGTCTCTCAATCTCCTGTTGGAGAGCCGTGAGCTTCTCCATGATGTTATCAATCTTCCCAGATGGTAGTCGAAAAGGAGGCACAGGTGTGACGCCGTCTTCGTCTGGTCCTGCGGTTGCCACACCGCCGTCAGAGCCAGCTCGACCCGTTCCGCCTCGTTGCCGCCACTGCCACCCGCATGGCTGGCCACCTGATTTGTTTTGTCTGCGCCACCATTGCCACGTGCACAGTCGGCCCCCAGAACTGTTTCCCCGTCATGACCGTTGCCGTCTACATGGTCGACCCCCTGAACTTTTTCGTGGACTCGTGTTGAGATCCGCTCTGGTTTTGTTTGGGTCATTTCTATATTCCTGGACTTTTGGTTTCTTGGACTGTTTCTAGGTCTCCAGTGTTTTTTGGTTTTTGACCCGTTTCCCTGACCTCCAGTGTTTGTGTTGCACTGTTTTTCTTGTGTTTATGAACTACTCTGGACTCATGCTCCTTGTTTTCTGTTTTTGTTTCGGTCCCTCCTGGACCCCCTCCGCCCTCCCTGGTTTGCTTATTTCATTATTTTTTTGGCATTTCATTTTTATCAATTAATTTTAATGTCAGCAGGTGGTATCACACTCAAACAGATTGAACAGTGGTAAATCCATGATTTAAATCTCCTGTTCCACCACATCCCAAAGGTGCCCTTGGTTTGGGATCTGGTGAATGTGGAGGTTGATGGAGTTCAGTAAAGTCATTGTGATGTTTAAGAACCCAGTTTGACATGATCACAGTTTTGTGATATGGTGCATCATCCTTCTGGAAGTAGTCATCAGAAGATGGGTACACAGTGGTCATAAACGGATGGACATGAATGGTGGAAGTTCGAGGAGAGAAGTAAGCAATTAACTAATAGGAGAAATTATGTTTAATGATCAAACCAAGT